CTGATGTTTTGTATTTGTTCCAACGTAAAAGCATCTATTTCCCCCACAGAGAGATGGATACATAATGGTTTCAGATCTAATGGAAGTACTCATTTCCAGGGGTATTGTAGTTTTGAAATGGGTGTGTTTGAGGTTTCTGGGTCTAATTTCATATTATTAAAATCTGAAATTACAGAAGCCTTTCCGAAGTAATCCTTGAGTTTCAGAATGGCCTCACGGTGCACCATGAGCTTGTTGTGTACAAAGTTTGAAGGGCTTGTTTGCAATACAATCCCTTTTGTTACAGCCAGAGCTGTAGCTTAGTTTTTGCCTTTCCCATGGGCTGGGTTTCTTCCTCTGATCAGCCTCAGAGCTTAGCCTGGGTGATGGAGTGACAAACACTGAAGGTTTCAAAAGCAGATAATAGGGCAGAGATGACAAGGTCAGGGTTTGGAGGTAGACTTGGGTTTGAATCCTAATTCTATCACATAGGAGCTCTGTGGCCCTGGTTCAGTTGTCTAGCTTCTCAAGCTTCATTTTCCCCATCTGCCAAAGGCTGCCATGAGTGTCAAGAGCTTAGCGTGGTGCCTGACACAGAGAACACACACTCAAAATGTATGCTAGTAGTATTAGCAACCAGAAATTATCTTAGTTTTACTTCAAGAAAATAGCCCTAGCTGTGTGCCGAGGATAATTTTTTTAAATTGATAGTGTGGATGTCGACATTTTTCTTAGAAACATTTCTAGAGGAAATTCCGTGGTTGTGTATCTAAAAGGCCTGCCCAACTTTACCCAAAAGATACACAGTATCAGTGCCTCCAAACAGATACACCAATGGTGTTATGGAACCCCAGATATTGTCCACTCAATTCACTGTGGGCAGGAAGAGGATCTATTTTTAAGGGGAGGGAAGAGGACTATAACTGGTTAAAAATAGGATTCTCCTCCATCTTCTCTCTGCCACTTTTCATCCGTCATTTTTCCGTCCACCCCCATTTTTCCTGAAGTCCTCTTATCACCTCTGTTCACCTCCCCCTTCTCTTTGTCTGCTTTAGAATCGGTACATACTATGAAAGAAAAAATACTTGACACTATCCCCAGAAAGTCAGTGGTGGGGGTAATGCATTTTTAATCCTAATCACCTGGTCTCCCTTTATTTGGCTGCCAGAGTGGGAAGGTTTTTTTTATTATTCAAAAAAGTCCTCTTGCTGGTGCTCACATATGACTAAAAAGGTTAATAAATTTCAGACTCTGCTTGGTAATCCAGGGAGATAGAACTCTGCAAACACAGACTTTTCTTTTTAAGTTGAATCTGACATTATGAAAAGCTACCCCTCTCTTCCCACACTCAAAGTATTTATCTAGGCTTTAAACACTGGGTAGCAGAAGTGTGGCGAGGGAGCTAACATTAATCGTGGGTCTGCATTGCAGAGGGAACCTCACTCACATTATCTCATTTAGTGTTCACCTCAGTCCCATGGGGAAAGCATCACAGTTCCCATATTTCATAGGTGAGAGCATGGGGGGCTTCAGCGTGCCCCGTGAGGGAGGGACTCACTCCAGTGCAGTTTCCCTAAGCACTGGTGACCCCGTGCAAGGTTTACACATCTTACTGCAATACCTTGATATAAGTGCTTCTCTGCTCACCATACAGTGCCAATTATGATAAGACATAGCTTCCAATTCTGTCCACCCTCTCTGGCCAGTCAATTCTTGGGACCATGGTCAAGTGCAGAATCCACCTTTCTAGCAAAGGGTGCTGGGAAATTGATATCCCCTCCCTCAGCAGTATAACCACAACATTGATCTCCCCAAATCTCTTTCCTTTGCTCTGATTACATAGAGGCAGGTCTGCACATTAGTCCCTCAATGCTGGGTGGTAGTAGGGGGGATGATAGTGGGTGGCAGGCCCAGTTCTCTGAGCTGGGACCTCTCAGTACACCCTGTGGGAGAGTGGCAGGGAGACATGGTTGATTTGCTCTTCAGTTATAATTCCGAGACAAGTGCATCATCTACACATAGATTATCGACTTTAATTCTTATCAGAACTCTATGAGGAAGGTTCTGTTTTGATCCCAGCATAGTGTAGTGGTTACAGACAAACATGGGCTCGGGTTTGAATCACAGCTCTTATACTATTAATGTGAAGTCCAAACAACTTGTTGTCTATGTGACTTTTACCTTCCCATGCCTCAGTTTCCTCTCTGTATGATGGAAGAATAATAGTACTTACCTTTATACTGTTTTGAAAAGCAAATGAGATAGTTTACACGGTAGGAAGTGCTCTCTATTATCTCCATTTTCCAGATGGGGAAACTAACACCCAGATGGGTTATATAACTGTCCAAGGTCACACAGCTAAGCAGCATTTCAAAACCTATGCTCTTAGCCATTATTCTGTGGTGGGACTTCTCAGGGTTTTTCACATCTTGGCACACATGGAAAATGATATTACTCATATGACATTGGGGAGAATGAAAGGGACAGCTCAGGGCTTGAGGTAATTGGTCTCTGGGTCTCCTATCACCCCAAGCTCCTTCTGGTCAACTGGTACTCTGCTGTACTGGAACAGAGGATTGGAGCTGCCTACCCAGGCCAAGGATGTCAGTAAGTCTTCCTGGAGAAAATGAAGACTTAGCTGGAAAAGTTTGTAAAATTCAGTAGTGAAGGGAGGGGGTGATAATGGGTGAGAGAGACTGCTTAATTTTCTCTTCTGAAAAATGGAGACCACAAGAATATCTATTTCACAGGGTACTTAAAAACTAAATGATGGCTTGTATAAGGAGAAGCCTTTGTAAAATGTGATAATTTTAGCTTAAGAAAAAAGAACAAAATATTTGAAATCATAAGAGTGATCTGGGGATAGTGGTTACAGAGATGGAATATTTCTACCAACCATTTACTTGGGGAAAGTTACAGTTTAATACGATAGACTTCCCTCCCTCCCTCCCTTCCTTCCTTTCCTTCCTCCTTTTATCTTTAACCAAATAAAAATGGACATTAGCTTCCTCCAAGATTTCTTATGAGGCTGAACCTATTTTCATCAAGTAACTAGAGCAAGTGGGAATAAGAACAAGAATCCTACAAGCCCAAGTAGGTGTATCTCTGAAGTTCAGACTAGTTTGGCTTTATCTGAGGAAATGGCATGTCAGGCTGTCTCTATAACATGGGCATCTTTGGTGAGGATTTCTTCTGACAGGTAAGGCAGCCAGGCACAAGCCAGACCCAGAAACAAAGCTTTGGTCAGTGGAGGGGAGGGATTTAGGACCATCAGCCAAGTTGTCTCCTCCCAGGGCCTGATGTCCAGTGTTGACATTTTCTTTCCTGAGTTTAATGTAAAATTCAAGTCAAGTAACTTGCACAAATGCATCAATATTTTAAAAGCTACCAATCTTACACATGAAAAAAGGCAGCTTACAATCTTCAATAATCTTTAATGTAATACATATTCATTATATAATATATGAGCCCTCAAAGGAGAAGTTCCTGTTGTCTAGAATTCTAAGTGCTACACAATGGTGGCTTTGGGATAGGTAAACACCACATATTTGCTTTGTAAAACCATCACCGAGTGACTTCAGCAGGTTAACTCTGAAAGTCATCACAACTTTTTGTCTTTCATAATCTGGACAAAGCTAAAGGAGAGAATTTTCTCTGATGCGACATTCTTGTAGTCAGAGTTTTAACCAGATACCGTCCTTGAAATTTGACTCTGATGTTAGAACGCTCATTAGTTCTGAAAAGCTGACTCATTCTTTGTGGCTGAACTCAAATGTCACCTCCTCTGTTAACTAGTCCCCAACACCTTGAGCAGGGTTAATTGCTCCCAAGGAGCTTGGTACATGCCTCTATTATGGCACCATTACCATAATGCTGTTTGTTTACCCAATAAACTATGCACTCCTTGGGGGTAGGAATGGTTCTCAGCATGGGAGGCACTTACTTGATGACTGTGGAATTAAAGAGTGTATCTATCGTAGATAGTATGTTTAAAATATAGATAAATTTGTGCACTTCTACAGACTCAGAAAAAAAAATGTTCAAGAGACTGTTGCCATCCAGATATAGAACTGAAAAAAAACCCTCAAGAATTTTAGGAAGTTGTCATCTTAAAATCTTATTAACTGGAAAGGTTCAAGAAAGATCAACAATATGCTGAGATGAATGAGTGAAGATTTTTGTGTCATCTAGTGTGTGTTTGATTTATATCTATAGTTAAAGCTAGAAGTCAGGGGAAAGGAAAGGGATGGGTTTGAAATTGATTGATTGACCTCTGACTGCTAGGTTCTGTATTAGATGGTTTCCATGACATGATTTCCCTTTGGGTACCAGCCCCCCCAGATCCCCCACCCCAGTTGGTTGGGTCCTATTAGCTCCTTTTGTCAAATGGGAAAACTGAGTTTTGGAGGTTCAGTAATGTGAACAAAGTCTTTCCATCTAGTAAGTGACTAAACCAGAATCTGAACCCAAGTCTGAAAAAAGTTCTTAGTGTATGTCTATATGTGTTTAAAAAAAAAGGGGGAGGAGAACTCAGCAGTTACTAAGATAATTCAGGACAGCCCTCACCTTGTAGCCTACACTTTCACCCCTTAAATATCTAAGGAAAAGTGTCAGGCGGGTGGGGCTTGAAGTGGGCAACACATGTGGTGCTTAAGCAAGTGGACTCAGAGTCAGAAACCTCGGTAGAGAGCCTGGCTCTCTCACTTTCTAGTGGTGTGAACTTGGGCAAATTGTTTAATATACTTGAGCCTCAGTTTCTCTAACAATAAAATGTAGAAGTAGGTGGAGGGGACTAATCATCATTTGTAGCTCACAAAATGTTGTGAGAAAGAAATGAGAGAAGGCACTCAGCACTTAGTCAAGGGCTTGACACACAGTAATGCTCAATGCATTCTTATCATAATTACTCAAATGCTCTCTGTTTCTTACCCAAAGTCAACAGATAATTGCTCATCTTCCTACTTTCTTAATTCAGCTGTGCAATCTTAAAGTGGAAGAGAAGTCCACTGAATTACCTTTGGCCTGTGAGCTGCAGCCAGACAATGGGATTTGGAATCATTTGATAGGAGTTTGGTTCTCGGTTCTGCTTTGTGATCTTGAGGAGACAGCTCACTCAGTTTCTCTGGACTCAGTTTTCTTATCTGTAAAGTGGAGATCAAAACTACATCTATCATACAGAATTCTTTCCAGGCTTACTTGACCAGTGGTAAGATAAGGCGCACATGAAAGGGCACCTAACCTGGTCTGAGAAGAGTGAGGAGAGTCTTCTTGAATGTAGTGGAGTCCAAGTGGGTCCAACTCCAAAAAGAGAGGAGCCTTGTAAACTAGGACACACACTTATGCCAGTAATAATTACGCTATCATTTTAATAACATAAGTATATGTAACTGATATTTAACCTTCTTTCAGACTACATTTCCCACTCTACTGGTTTCACTTTCTGACTTAACCTTTGAATTTCATTAAACTTTTAAGGGGAGGAATACTGTGATTTGGGTTTTTTTTTGGTGTTTTTGTTGGACTCTAATTATCTCCACAGTTTGGTCCATCATTTTCTTGAAGGTGTTTCTAGTAGAACTTTATTATTCTGCTGTGTCTTCAATTATCAGCTGTGTAATGCAAGAACCCAAATAAATATAGACTGTGTAATTCTTTCTGGCTTTCATACTGAATGGGATAAGTGAGTGTGTGTGTGTGTGTGTGTCTGTGTGTGTGTGTGAGAAAACACATGTATACATCTTGGATTTGATCCTGAGTTACTCCTTGGGTGTAAATAAGACACTGAAAGGCACATTAACTTTTCCAGGTCACCAGGGTTTTCATTAGATTGCTGGACTATAAATAGTTCCCTAGTGGTAGAGTGCAAATGATGTACCATTCCTTCTTCCCCCCCAGAGAGCTTAGCTACCAAAAAGCAACATTCACTTGCAAGTGTCTGGCTCACTGTGTGCCAGTATTGTACAGAAGGTCAAATTTTGGATTAACCTTTGAAATGGAAAAAAAAAATCAACAAGGGTGTCTTTGTGAACATTTTGTTTCTTAGGGAAAACTATTTACATGGAATTTACCTAGTGTACCACATAAAAATTCTAAGCATGGAATATCTAGCACAGCGTACAAATTTATTTCCCTTGAGTTACTTAAATGTCATCATGTTTGGTACAAAATTGGAAATACCTCATTTTGCAAATATTCTTGCCAGAGCTTCTCTGCCATGGTGCCATCTGCATAGAAGAAGATAATTGAGTAACTACTTGGTGAATACAAACACAGAGCCAGCCACAAGAGATAATTCAGAATGCCTTTTCTGTTTTGTTATCCTTTAAAGCAAGATTATCTGTCCGAAGAATTTGGAAAATTACCTCTACTGTTTCCAACTGATTTTGTCTAATCTGTTTCTGTGAGATCCACTGAACACACTATGCTAGGATAAAGTGGATTTGTTCGAAGAATAAGATCTGATGTTTGGCTGAGCTTATCAAGTTTCTACTAGACTATAAGCTACTCAAGGACACAGACTGTATTGCATTTATCTTTGAATCTCTCCTGTGTCAGGAATGTAGTAGGCATCCTCTAAATAGTTACTGATTTAAATTCAGTTTATTATAAAAATTATAAGAATCATTTCTGGGCCTCCTAAAAATCAGACAGTGTTTGAAAAATATATTCCTGGATGTTCTTTTTTTTTAAATTACATCTGGTTTTAGTTTCCTGTGGGGAATCCATGTATGTTGTGGAAACTTGGGTATATATTTGTGATAGAAAATTATGGATTCTGACAAGGAAAGCAGTAGCAAAAATTGTTTAATATTTGGTAAATAGGGGTAAAACGAATGAAGACATGCTTGGTCTAACAGAATTCATATAGATTAAGAGTTTTTAAGAACTGTTTTCATGGATTTGGTACATTATACAGTTTGTCTTACTTTTCTCTTTTGGCAGTTTTATTACCAAGTAAGCCTGAAAATGAGGCGAGGAGATGCCTCTGTGTGTATGTGTGTGTGTGTGTGTGTGTGTGTGTGTGTGTGCGTAAACAAGAGCTAAATGAAATTTCACACCAATAAGATGAGTTCTGCTTAGAATGATGATAATGGCTATTAATTGAGAGCCTAGTATGTGTCAGGCAGTCTTTAAATCAATAACATATTTTATGCATACAAAAACCCTATGACTTAATCATTTTTCCATTTTTAAAGATTAATAAGCTGATGTTCAGAGATGTTTAATAACTTGCTCAAGTTCACATGGTAAGTGGCAGAGCTGAGATTCAAACCCCAAACTCTCTGACTAGTAAATTGGTATTCTTCCCACGTATTGTACTCAATGCAGGAGGCACCTACGCATGGTGATTCTTAACAGTGTCAAAACATCTTTTTTCTTTTGGGACACCGCGTGCCTGTAATTATTACCTGTAGAGTCTTTCTTGGAGCCTTAAGTCCAGATTAGCACTTTGTTTGTGTAGAGCAATAAAACAGTACAATCTCAGCCTCCAGTACTGGCACCATTGTCAGCAACTGGACAGAATTGAGTCACCTTGAATAAAAGAAAAAAAAGTGAAGTGAGAGGTGTTTAATGCCTTGTCTTTTTTTTTTTTTTTTTTTTTTGCAGTATGCGGGCCTCTCACTGTTGTGGCCTCTCCCATTGCGGAGCACAGGCTCCGGACGCGCAGGCCCAGCGGCCAGGGCTCACGGGCCCAGCCACTCCGCGGCATGCGGCATCCTCCCGGACTGGGGCACGAACCCGTGTCCCCTGCATCGGCAGGCGGCCTCTCAACCACTGCGCCACCAGGGAAGCCCGTCTTTTTTTTTTTTAACACAACTAATTAATCAGTTTGAATTCTGAGTAGAAAGAAACAAATGAAAATGTTATTTCACTTTTCAAAGTATGTTGAATCACTATCCTAGAATTTTTACCATCAGGCAGTAATGAACAAGCACAATGGAAGAGCTACAGTTGGAAGAGGTTGAGAAGGATCCTGTGTTTTATCAGTTGATACGGGAGCCAAGGTGGTGTTTGACTGGGGAGGGAATGGCGATATAAGAGAAGCATTAGCTAGTTTCTAGTCAATCTCCTTTTCTATGTGCACGAGATAATTATAAAGTCAAATGTTAAAGCTGAAAAATCATTTAAATATCTGGCTTTTTGTTTCAGGTGCTGTTCTATTCAAAAGCAGGCAAAATAGCAAAAAACAGGTCCGGTGAGATGGGCATCTAAACACCTAAGTTTCTTCGTTGTATTCTGTGCTAGGTGTAGTGGTGAACCAAAGCAGCCTGGTTCCCACCTTCACGGAGCTTACAGTCTAGACAAAAAAGACTTAATAATTTCACATAACAGTATGTGAGCTCTTTCAAAGCGATATCATAGTCAAAGAAAATTCAGCAACTCACCAGGAGAAATATTGCCTCCAAAAGGCCCCTGGAGCCAGCCCAAGGCAGGGAGTATTCAGAGGGACTGTGGGAAGACAAGATAATGGAGAGGAAAAATAAGGGCTCCCAACAAAGTTTGCGACTAGTTAAAGGTAATGTAGGATACTGCACTGCTCCAGTTGGGGCTACTGGTGGTGTTAAACAATAAAGAATGCCTGGGTACCATAGTGATTTAATGCAAACTACTTTTTATTCAGGGGTGACTTGAGGCTATGAACTCTAGCAGCCAATCACATCCACTTTCTGTGAAGAGGCTCTCATAATAGTTAAAAAATATATATAATATATATTATTTATGTATCTTATTGAGGTGAAATTAACATAACATAAAATGAACCATTATAAAGTGAACATTTTCAGTGGCATTTAGTATATGCACAACGTTGTGTCACCACCACCTCTAGTTCCATGATATTTTCATCACTCCAGAAGGGAACCCCATACATATTAAGTAATTGTTCCTCACTCTCCCTTGCCACTGCCTCTGGTAACTACTAATCTTTGTTCTGTCTCTATGGATTTACCTATTTTGAATATTTACTAGAAATGGAATCATACAATATATAATCTTTTGTGTGGCTTTTTTCACTTAGCAGAATGTTTTTGAGGTTTCATCCATGTTGTAGCATGTATCAGTACTTCTGTCTCTGTGGATTTACCTATTCTGGATATCTATTGGAAATGGAATAATACAATATATAATTTTTGTGTGGCTTTTTTCTCTTAGCATAATGTTTTTGAGGTTCATCCATGTTATAACATGTATCAGTACTTCATTTCTTTTCCTGGCTGGGTAATATTCCATTTAATGTATATATATATATATACCACATATTAATGGATTCATCCATTAATAGACATTTGGGCTGCTTCTACCTTTTAGTTATTTTAACAGTGCTTCTATGAACATGTGCCCGTTTGGGCTGCTATAACAGAATACCACAGACTGGGTAGCTTATAAACAACAGAAATTTATTGCCCTCAATTCTGGAGGCTGGAAGTCTGGGATCAGGGTGCCAGCATGGTTGGGTGAGGGCCCCTTTTGGGACACAGACTTCTTGTTGTATCTTCGCATGGTAGAAGGGGCTAGGGAGCTCTGTGGAATCTCTCTTATAAGAACACTAATCTCATTCATGAGTCCTCCACACTTGTGACCTAATCATCTCCTAAAGGTCCCACCTTCTAACATCATCACATTGGGTGTTAGGATTCCAACATGTGATTTTGGGGGAACATAAACATTCACACCATATCATGTGTGTACCTGTACTTGTTTAAACACCTATTTTTTATTCTTTTGAGTATACACCTAGGAGTAGAATCACTGGGTCATTTGATAATTCTATGTTTAACTTTTTGAGGAACCACCAAACTGCTTTCTAAAGGGGCTGAACCATTTTACATTCCCACCAACAGTGTACAAGCGTTCCAGTTTCTCCACATCCTTGCCAACATTTGTTATTTTCTGTGTTTTTTTTTTATTATAGCTACCCTAACGCATATGAAGTGGTACCTCATTGGGGTTTTGATCTACATTTTTCTAGTGATAAGTATCTTTCCATGTGTTTGTTGACCATCTATATATCTTCTTAGGAGAAATAAGAAATGTCCATTCAAATACTTTGCCCACTTTTTAATTGGGTTGTGTTGTTGTTGTTGAGTTAGCATACTAATTTTTGAGCCATGCACTTCAGCTGTTTCATGATGCAAATCCAACACCCACAGTAGTCTTAAAGGTGGAATGTGGGCAGGGAGAAGAGGAAGCAAAGAGCACAGGAGAGGTGGAACTTGGGGTGTGGCTGAAAGGGTGCTGATACACAGCTTTATCTTCCTCAATAACTTAAGTCTGATAACTCAGAATAGGAAGTGATAGCTTTGGCATGGCACTTTGATGGAGATGCATTTCTAGAATCTGTGACTTCAACTTTATTCTCACTGCCATTGTATAGCTCAATAATAAAGAGCTACCATTTTTTAGTGCACTTCACACACATTATCTTAAACTTTGTAGCCATACCTGGTTGGTGCTATTATCCTAATTTTACAGATTAGAAGAACTGAGGCTTGGGGAGATTAACTGGTTCAAGATCACACCTTGAAGGAGGCTGAATGAGTAGCGATTCCATTCTCACAGATTTATGTCCTCTCCCTATTACCCCATGGATGGCTTATCACTTGTTTGTATTATTGCTCTAGTCTCCTAACTTTTCTCCATTTCTTTAGATTTATCTTCCTCAGTCTCCACACTGCTGACACTGGGGTTTTTTCTAAAATGTAAATCTTACTGTGCCACATCTTTGCTTAACATCTTTTAATGGCTTGTCATCCTTCAAGATCCCCTGTGTTTCAAGTTATCACCTCTTGCTTTTCTCATTTGTACCCTACCTTATAGTCATGTCAAACTATTCCCAATTTCTGGAATCTGTCAAGCTGTTTCATAACCTTGTGCTCAAAAGAGAGCTGTTTCTTTCTGGAATGAATTAAAGACCGCCCTGCCCACCAGTACTACCTTATGAACTTACCCCTACACCATAAAATGCACAAATATTGGCAAGTGAGGTAGTCAGGGGAAAGAGGGGAAGCTGTCATTATTTACATACCTCACCTTGACTACCTGGAATATACAAGAGAATCAACTGGAAGCTAACAAGGCAGCTTAGTAGTCAGATACAAGATTTTTAAAAAATCAATAGATCTCCCAATCACCAGCAGTAACCAGTTAGAAAATGTAATGGCAGAAAGGATCTGACTCACAAAAGGAGCAAAAATTATAGAATACCTAGAAGCAAACTTAATAAAAATATGTAAATCCACATTTTTAAAAAGCTCTAAACTGTTATTGAAAGATAGAAAAATAACACTTGAATCCATGAAAATACACTCCATGTTTCTACACGAAAAGTTTAATGTGGTGGTTATGAGCCTGAGGTCTGACTGTGTGAGTATGAATGCCAGCAATTCCTTTCTGCCTCATCTCAGGAAAGTCGCTTCACTCCTCTAAGGCTTAGCTTCCTTGTTTGTAAAGGGAGAGTAATAATATTAGTTAGCTCGTGTATCAAGTATGAAAATTAACTAAAATGATCTGACTAAATTAAATGATCTGTTTAGAGCACTCAGCCCAGTGCCAGGCACATAGTAAATACTTAATAGGTTATCTATTATACTAAAGATGCCAATTGTCTTTAAGATAATCTGTGTATTTAATGCAACTCCAGTTGGGCATTTGTTTCTGTGTGTGATTTGTAGGTTTATTGAGAGCTCATCTTTAGAGGGTATTTTTATTTGTTTGGCTTGTTTTATATTTTTGGAATCATGTGTCTTCTGAGTTGTGGATAACTCCCAACAGAGGTGTTTTGGTTTTGCCTTTGCTTGTGCCAGCCCGATACATATGTCTCTCCCTCCTTCCCTTTTTTCTTCCTTCTTTCTTTTGTTCTTTTCTTCCTTTTTCTTTCTTCCTTCTTTCCTGTCTCAAGTTCACAAAGATATTCTCACATTACTAAATGAAAAGAAAATTTTCACAATAATATATATAGTGTAAAGTCATCTAAGTATAATGCAAAGCAACTCTCCTTTTAAAATATTTCTGGCAATGGATCTGGAAATCCACACACAAAACTGCTCATAGTGGTTACTTCTAACATGAGACTGGGGTGGAGGGTAGATGGAGAAAGTCTCTCATGGAGTTTTTCATCTTCTTCTGTATTACGTGATTTGTTTATTATTTGACCACAAGTAATACAATTTCTATTACTTGTATAATTTAACAGTCAGCCATTTTCCCTCCTCCAGCTCAGGCCTCAGGCCCTTGACAGCCCTTGCCCTCTCCTCATCTTCTCGTCCATCATCTGTGCTCCAGTCACCTGGCTGTCTCTCTGTCCCTTGAGAATGCCATTCTCCTTTTCACCTGAGGCCTTTGCCTTTCCAGTTCTCTCTGCAATGTTTTTCCCTCACCTCTTTGCCAAGGTCACTATGACTCATCTTATGTGGCTCTCAGTTTCTACAGCATGTCCTCAGCGCAGCCTTCCCTGAAACTCAGACCAGGTAATGTTTTCTGTCATATGCTCTCCAAGTATCTTATCTTCTCTTTTGCAACATTTACCACAAGTTTAATTAATTAATTAATTTTGAAAGTTGTTATGTAATACCAGGCAACTCCAGTAGAACATGAGCTTCATGCTGTCAGGGACTAGAGCTGTCTCATTTGCAGATTAACTCCCTGGGCCTAGCAGAGCATCTAGTACATAATAGGCCCTTGATACATACTCACTGAAGGAATCAACAAGTAAGTGAGGGCTTCCCTGGTGGCGCAGTGGTTGAGAATCTGCCTGCCAATTCAGGGGACACGGGTTCGAGCCCTGGTCTGGGAGGATCCCACATGCCGTGGAGCAACTGGGCCCGTGAGCCACAAGTAATGAGCCTGCGCATCTGGAGCTTGTGCTCCACAACAAGAGAGGCTGCGACAGTGAGAGGCCCGCGCACCGTGATGAAGAGTGGCCCCCGCTTGCCGCAACTAGAGAAAGCCCACGCACAGAAACGAAGACCCAACACAGCCATAAATAAATAAAATTTTAAAAAAACCCAAAAAACAAGTAAGTGAATGAGATTTTGGGGGAATCTTGAGTATAGTTTCTGATTCTTCTAAGTCCCTTCATGGAAACTTAAGGATCTGAGGCTCCTATGTTGGGAAATATTCATTCCTTTTCTGCTCCTGTTTAGGACTGATTTGTGCATTGCAGGTAATGTTGCTCTGCAGTCCTTTATACTTGGAATGCATTTTGGGAACCTCCATAAAATGCCTCTTCTAGAATTCCCAGTGCCTGTAACTCTGTGAAAGTCCTCTGCCCATGAACTAAGGAGGGACCCAATAGACCTCTAACAGTAGGAGAGGTACTTATTTCCTGAGCTGAGCACTGCCCAGGAGACTCTCCTTCTATCCTCAGGAACCAATTTCTCTATGCTTGTCTCTGGGCTTCCACCATCTGACATCTTCAACTGCAGATGCAAGCGGGTCTCTCTCTGCCTCACTGGAGTTCCTCCATTGGACAATTTCCTGTCCATGGATCCTCATGAGATTATGCTGAAATTTCATTCCCAGTGTCATCAGGAGTGAAACGAACTAAATTGAACTCTAGAGAATGTGCATTAATACATATGAACACAGCTAAGTAATTGCTATGTTGAGCAGGGGAGGAAATCAGTCACTATAAAACTCATGCTGTAGGAGAACTCATTTCCAAGCAAGATCATAATGGGAGTCATCTAAACAGAATTCAACTTTTATGATTTTTTAAAGGACCATCAGACTACGAGAAATATTTCACTTCACTTAACTAAAAGGTCAGAGCTTTTTGATGTCCCTGTTACATGGGCATTGTGTTATATAGATGCTCCTCAGAAGTTAATGGACGACTTCTTTTATAAAGAAGTTCAGCCATGTTGAAACTCCTGCTGGATGATCCCTACTGGACAACCCTTCTTGTTACTCACCCTGTAGTTGGGTGTTATGGCTATCCACACGATTCTTTCCAATGATTTCTAAAAACGAGAGGCCACTAGTTCGGATGTTCCTTTTATTGCCTGTCAAAGGGCAATTTTCAAATGAACATCACCCTCTAGGAAGCAGAACTCTTGCATTCTCAGAGAAAAGTGATGATAATTGGACTTTACACATGTTTCCCTTTTTGAGATACAGACCACAGAATTTGTTTATGACTATCTTTAGCACGAACAGGAAACTTACGATGAAACTCAAATGGAGGGGAATAGAGTTAAAATGTTATAAAACTCATAGGAAATCTGTTCCAAATGATCCAGTGGCTTTAAAAAGTCCATTTTTAAAACATGAGAATGATAGAGCATAGTTGTTTTGTTCAGTAGCAGGGAGGGGCATTGCTGTGGCAGCCACACTTTCTGGCCCTGTGACCAGTTGCTCATTTTTTGTCAGAAAAATAGCTGGGTGCGACCACGGCTACAGTCTCCAGTTGTGGGAAAAGTGTTTGTCTGTGAGCAACTGACAAGTCTGTATTAAAGGTCACACTAGGAATTCTGGCTCCTTAGCGGCACCCTAACCCTAACCTTAACCTCAACGCTAACTTTGGTTTCTAAACAAGACCGCTTAGATGAGTAATCCAAGGAGACAGCATTCCAGGGCATTCACATCACCCCTTAAGAGGGCACCAAACATTCTTCACCACTCTTAGTTCCTCTATGGGTCACATCTGCACCATAGATAGGGTATGCCCATCAGTTGGAATAGGCCAGGTTATGCTGCCGCAACAAAAAAGCCTAAAATCAGCTGGCATTGTTTTAGGGATTGCTGGTGGATGGTGAGAAAACGTTTTCTGAGGCAGGAAGGCTGTTGCTCTTTCCCTCCGACCTGCAGACAGACAATGGCGGAGATGGTGGCTGCTCCATCTACCTAGGTCCTGGAGTGAGGAGCTGAGCAGCACAGCCCCAGCTGACCTGCAGTGCAGAGAAGTTTCTGTGATTATCCGCCACCAAGATTTAGTGCCATAACTGACTAATATCACATCTCCTGCAGTCTCACAGGTGAATAAATGCACACTCACGCAGGTGAAATAGATGGCCTAGGACTCTAGTCAAGGGCCAGGGAAACGATGTCTGAGCTCTATTAACATGGCAGGCTGACTCATTTGTGTCTGGCAGATCCATGAAAGGCCACTGATTTTTCCATCAACTATTGAGACTTCAGTCTGATGGGGTCATTCTGACCCCATCAGACTGAACTTGACCCTCAGAATGAACTTAGTCTTTTACAAAGAGAGCAAAATAACATTTTTTTTGGTTTAGCGTCGCAGGTAGGGTGACCAACCATCCCTGTTTGCCTGGGACTGGGAGATTTCCCAGGACACAGGCCTATCAGTGGTAAAACCAGGAAAGTCCCAGCTAACTGGGATGAATAGGTCACTCTAATTGCTGAGGTGATATCTCCTAGTAACACTTAAGAATTATGCAGCGTAGACTCCCATTGTACCTTGTAATTCTTTCTGTCATAATATTTATTACATTGTGTTGTAAATGACTCAGACTGTGCAGTGTCTATCTGCCCACCAAACCCTGGGCTTCTGAGACCAGGGGACTGTTTCTTTTCCATTTTATATTCCCAATACCTTGTATGGTGCCTGCCACTTCAAAAGAGCACAATAAATATTTATTGAATGGATGAATGAACGCTGTTTCTCTGTTATTTTTCATTCCCAAAACTGGTGTGGTGTGATTGGCTTTTTCTTCTTTGAGGATCAGTTCTGCCTAGTTACTAGTTTAACTACAAAGAAAGGCAGGACTCTGCCCTGACTGCAGCTACAAGCTTGCATAAAGCTTTCAGCGTGACCTGTAATGTAAAATTACATAAACCCAACACTGAACTTCAGCATAAACTGATTCCTTATTAGACCGACTGAATAATTGAATCTCCTTTTTTGGCATTTGTTTAAAGACAGAAGGTCATGGGACAAATGGTGGGTATTTGAGGCTGTGGAAACAGTTGTTATAAATTTGGTTTATCTGTTTCTGTAACTGGGACTATTGTGACTGAAGACCCAAGCTTCCCAAGTCTGCCCTCCACCCTTGGGAATGCAGAACAACATGCCCTCCAAACCAGAGGCAGGAGGAAAATCTCTGTGGGCATGCCTCCTGAGAGACTGCATTCATGCCTAGCTAAGGACAGCAAACAGTGAACTGAGAAACTTGCTCTGGAGAACTAGATCCAGGTCTCAACCAGTTGAATATTTTCATAACAGGCCTAAGAGGTATGCTGAGAAAGAGTTTGCTAGTTTTTGACTTACACACTAAATACTCAGACATTTTTGTTTTCATTAATCACCCACAGTGAGTCTCTCCTAAGTGACTCAGCTTTTCTGAGAAGTGATTTAAATTCTAGAAGGAGGCCCTGTGGAGTAGTTGGAAGATCACTAAACTTGTATTAAGAGGACTTAAAAGAAAACCCATCCTCAGTTTCCTCATCTGTAAAATGGGTTTAATAATATCTACATTTCTTACCTTATAAGATAGCTTGTGGGGTCAAAGGAGATAAAGTCAGTAAAAACAGTCTAAAAATTGTAAAATGCGGAATGAATATAAGATATATATTTTCTACCTCTTATGAATTCACCTGATTCTATTCTTTAACAAAACATATCTAAGCTTGCCTTCTGCTTTAAGACTTCCTTTTGTAAGTCAATTATACTTCAATAAAAAACAAAGGAAAAAAACCCTTCCTTTTATTTATCCCAATATTTTCCTCATCACAGGACGAGAATACTCTGTGCCTTGTATGTGCATTCTCTTCATGACAGATGAAGACACAGGTACCATGATCTTAATTTTACATGTAAGTACTAGTTCATAGTAGTTCATGTCCAAGATCATGCAGCTAAATGTTTGGTTTTAACACAAGGGTGCCTATCTCACTGCCCATGAAATTTCTGTCCCACTGTGCTACCTTCCAAGTTTTAAAGGGTTTCCCTCCATTATTTTAATATCTTGGATTTGGTATACAAGTTCATTTTGGGTTTTATCACATTATTTTCTAGATTTTGATTATATTTCCTCATTGTTTGTCACTCCAGACTGAAATATTCTATTCCTTACTCTGGCAGACCTTTCCTTTTCCTTGCTTTTGTTTGGACCTTTCTTGAGAGATAACAGCTAAAACTGCATGTAACATTCCAGGTGTAGGCCCTCCTGGGTTGGGTGCCAGGGCAGTATAATGTTACCAGATGTATTGCCAATACTCATCATGAAACTCGGATTTTCATGAGCTGTTTTGACTGAAGTAGGGCAGTTCCAATGGAACATCCTCCGGCTACAGCCAGCAACCACGTGGCCAGGCGTTAGGGAACATGATGTCTTGAGGTCTCTAAAATTCTTTCATTTATTTATTCAACAAGTTTTTTAAAAGCACTGATCCTGTGCCAATCTCTGTTCTATTTGCTGTGGGTAGGATAGAGAATAAAATACCCCAAGTCCCTCTCTTCACGGGCCAAATCGAGTAGTGTGGAGAAACAGTTGACAAATACAAAAATGTATAATATGTCAGATGGTAAGTGCTATGTAGAAAAATGAAGTTGGGTAAGGGGAAAAGGGGAAGACTGGGCAGAGGGCTTGTCTTTTCCATAGAATGGTCAGTGACATCGCTGATAAGGTGACATTTGAGCAGGAACTCGAAGGCAGTAAAGGTTACCTCAGGGAAGAACATTCCAGGCAGAAAGAACAGAAAGTACAAAGGTCGTGGGAAAGTTTTCTGCCATGTTTGAGGTATCCCAGTGTAGTTGGAGCTAAGTGAGAGTGGAGGGCACCGGGGAGATGAGATAAGGTCAGAGCTTCAAGGTCAAGGAAGGGCAGATCATGCATGGTCTTATAAGTTATGATGAAGGACTTGGGGTTTTATTATAAGCAAAGAACTGGTCTGGTCGGACTTATTTTAAGAAACTCACTCTGTCTACTCTGAGGAGAATAGACTATGGGAAAGGAATGATGGAGGCAAGGAAGCCAGTTAGCCAGCTATTGTAATAATCCAGGTGAGGGATGATGATGGTTTGGATCAGGGTGATGGTGGAGGTAAGAGCCAAATGTCATTGAATCCTGGGTATAGACTGGATATGAGAGAAAGAGGAATCAATGACGACTCCAAGGTTTTCAGCTCAAGAAACTTCGAAAATTGGATGAATGGAGCTGCCTTTTACTGAGATGAGGAATACTACGGAAGGCATATTTTTTGTGTGTGTAATGTTTGTAGGTGGTAGAAGGGACTTAGGAAGGAGTTCTATTCTGTATATCTTAAGTTTGAGGTACTTCCACGTAAGGATTTCAAGGAGGCAGTTAGACAAGAGTATGACGTGTTTGGAGGAGAGGTTGGGGCTGGAGTTAGAGGCTAAATGAGATCACCTAGACAGACAGATAAATCAGGAAGAAAGAGGCCAGAGCACCGAAACTTGGAGGACTGCAACATACTACAGAGAGCGTGGGGAGATAGGTGGAAACAGTAAAGAGAAGCAGTCACTTAAAAGCTGTTCTGGTGGCTCTGTGGCAGCAGCTACTGTGAACACTGGGTTTATATATTGGAGATCTGCTCCCAAAGCTGGGGGGCTACCAGGGAAGATTTATGCTTGTGCAGGTGGCTGCTACACAGGATCATTGTGATAAAGCACACACACAAGAGTCCTCTCTTATCATTACAAAATATGCAGGAGATTGGCCAGTCACTGCCAAAAATCAGGATGAATTACTTTAGATCAGGGAAATTTGCTTAACTGAATGGAATCAAAGAGATCATATCAATATATTCCTGATAATATAAGCATATCTATAATATGATAAAAACAAGGAACTCTCAGTACTGTGGATATACAAACCATTAGCATGTGCATTTATAAATCCCCAAGATCAGACATATCAGGATGCATATTAACAAAATCACCTCTACAGTACATATAAATAAAGTTCGGGCTTTGGAACTCTTTTTTTCCTGATTGCAATTGGTGTTTCATTTTGCAGGTCACCCCATAAAAAGCTTGTTTAACCCATGATGTACTGTACCTCAGGTGTGGATCTAACTGTTCAATTTTCAGTTTTCAACCATGTTAAGGACTTTCTTCAATTGCAACTCTGGACAGCAGCAACTACCTCATCTGATAGACAATCAAAGCCATCTGTGCAAGAGGGGTGATATACTAGTAGATTTAAAAACAAAACGAAGAACATTCTGCTTTTATCCTGTGGAACCCTGCCTCCCTGCCCCCAACCTTGTCACCATCCCAACCCTAATCTGGCCAGCTCTGCTTCACAAGGAGAGGTGGAGTAGGAGAACAAAGGCATCAAATTCTTGGTTAAACTAGAAAAGTCTTGATCTTTGTATTAAGATTTAAAAGAATAATAGCAGAGATAAGGCTTCTTTGGGCTGGGTCACAGAAGCGACAATTGGAGAGGGAATGGGGGGTGTGCCTGGGATATTGATGAGATGCTGAGAAGTGGCCCTAACCTGCACCCTTACTTCATTATTTCCAAAGATGCAAGGGGGGTCCAATGCTGTGACTTCTCCAAACATCACATGTAGTCAAGCCCCATCCTCTAAGTCCTAGGAAGAGCTCAGACCTGTCGCTGGGTCAGGTCTGTCACCAATGGGATCACCAGGGATGTCCAGCTGAGGTGCTAGGGAGGGAAGAAGCACAGTGGCTTTGAGCCTTCTCTGTGGAGCACTAGCATCCTTTAGATGAATGCTCTTCTCGCCATGTGGCAGGGCAATAGGATGGGGTGAGGCTGGCCCTGTTGGGGAGAGGTGGCTGCCCTTGGCAGGCTAGCAGGGCCTCTTTCTGGATGTGTTCATCTTCATTCTTTCATACTTTTTCTTTGGAAGCTTTCTTTGTGCCCACAAATATAGATTTAATATCTGCTTCTTTGTCTTCCAATGCTATCTCTGTAACAGCATTTACCTTACTGCATGTATGTCTCCCCTACTAGATTTCGACCTTTTTGAGAACAAAATCCAGTTACAATTGTCTTTATATTTCCCAACACCCAGGATAGTGCCTGGGTCATGGTAGGTAATCAATAATGATTTGTTATATTATGAAGGAAAACAAATGCATTCACTCTCTATGCCATGAGTGTTCTGTTACCTGGTGTAACTGGAGTAGGTAGAGTGACTCAGCTAAGAAATAAAACACTTTCTGCTCAACAGATATTAAATAACAATAACTGTAACCACCTACAGCATATCTTCTCGTCTTCATTTTCTTTCCTTCAAATAACAGATTGAGGCCTATTTTCTCTGGAAAGTCTTTGCTGGTTATCCTTCTTACAATCTGCTAGCCAGTCTCCTCCTTCCTAAGACACTTCCTGTTATCACGTTATAGCCATAAATATATATTCCTAGATTTTATAGTCAGTCCCCCTTTTTTGCCACATTGTATTCTTAGAAATCACGTCTTCCATAAAATGGAACATTTCTCCTCTAGAGACAATGCTGTAATTAAGGGCTTACCAAGGACTCAGTATCAAATAAAATACAGTCACGATCAATAACATGTCAGAAAGATAAAGCTACAACTGTAATCCTCTAAAATAATTTAACATAGTAAAATCATGCCTCGAGTTCTATAAAACTGTCATAAATACACATTGATTATCCAATACCTGGATTATGTAAAATCTATGTAAAAACATAAAATTAAACCATGCTCTATTATTAAATTTTCCCCCAAACGAATATACAGAGTAAAATGAATATTTTCAACATATTAATGAACAACCATTTGTTCTGCTTTTAAATTATAAATGGAACATTGGATGATTATTTAGATAGTTTAGACCTCTCTTAATACAAGTCAGCAAGTTAGAAGTTATGCCCCTTTGTCCTTCATAGGTTGTCCTCTCCAAAGCAGCGCTTTCCTAGTTATTCAATTGGTCCTGTAGTCACACCCAAATTAGTAGGCTCAACAAATGTTTCCTGCAGTTTCTGACAACGGTAGTACTTCTTTTCTCCTCGGAAAAGCTGACCCAATATTTCTAATCTTCTTCCTCTCCTTTTCTCTTTCTTTATTTAAAGCTAAAGGCATAAAGCTAAAGGCTCAGTAGAAGACCAAAGCAGAGCCAGGGAGAGACATGGAGTGGCCTTAAATAACTCAAGTGCCCCTTCTGTGAATGATTCTTCCTTGATTTAGTTTTTATTGTAAAAGCAATAAAACAATTGCTGACTGTGAGCAAACTCCAAAAAAAAAAATACCTCAAAACATTTATGATGGGCTTCCCTGGTGGCACAGTGGTTAAGAGTCTGCCTGCCAATGCAGGGGACACGGGTTTGAGCCCTGGCCCAGGAAGATCCCACATGCCGCGAAGCAACTAAGCCCGTGCGCCACAACTACTGAGCCTGAGCTCTAGAGCCCACAAGCCACAGATACTGAGCCCACATGCCACAACTACTGAAGCCTGCGCGCCTAGAGCCCATGCTCCGCAATAAGAGAAACCACGACAATGAGAAGTCCGCATACCGCAATGAAGAGTAGCCCCCGCTCACCACAACTGGAGAAAGCCCACGCACAGTAACAAGGACCCAACACAGCCAAAAAAAAAAAAAAAACCATTTATGACATGATTTCTAAGAGGTCTGGCTGTCTTTTTATTAAAATTCAATAAAATAATAAATATTAATTGAAGGCCTACTGTGTGCCAGGCCTGATGTGGGGCTCAGAGGAGGCTGAGATGAAGGCAACAGTTTGACCTTCGAGGAGTCCAGTGAGGTTGGGTGTTGAGAAAGCAGCACTTAAGCTTAGTCATGGGTACTTCCTATAAGATGATAGAGGACTTGGGGTGACACTCCCTGGGGTATTTTGT